CACAGACTGTCAATAGATTGCAATCATTTATAGTCCATATGTCAAACCTGAGGTTAAGACATTTGAACCATAAAATTCAAGAAAATATCAACATGTCAACATTATTTAAACTTACATGAAATCAAACTAGGGCACAATATGGAAGAAAAGATTTTAAAAGGAGACTCCCGAAAAAGTACCAGGACCCAGAATCTCGAAACTTCTTAAATCCGTTCTCAGCGCTTAACTTTGATCATATTCTCAAGAAAGCGTATCTCGAAGATTCTTAAACCATTCTCAGTTCTTAATTTTGAGAATGTGCTTAACTTTAAGTATATTCTCAAAGTATGTGTATCTCAAAGATTCTCAAGTGCCCCATTTTTAATTCTAAGTTGAGAATTGACCCAAAATTTGAAAACGGTCATGAGCATGCTTAACTATTTCAGAACATTCTCAAAGATGGCTAATTTGCACAGGTTAGTCGGTCGTTTGCGACAGCGGCGAGTTGATCCAAGCTGTGCAGTCAAGATAATTACAGCATTGACCTAACTCCTTCAATAAGTACAATTTTCTCCCTTTCGGTTCAATTAATTCCTCGTTTTTTACATTTTGTAGCCATTTCTAACTGTCAATTTCACATTAAAAAAAAAAAAAAAAAAAAACAAATGCGATCTTTACAGTAGTAAATATAGGTAATACGTGTTATACTAAAACGTTGTCTGCACACCGTATAAAAGCGTTAGAAATATAATAGACGACAGATTGAAAGTCAAGTGCAGAAGTACCGAAATAAACCGCGTCTAATAATAACTTGAAGTCGAAACTTACTTCGAAACTGCATCATCGTCATTCCCGCCGTAGACTTATCTTGCCTTTGAGAAACACCATTTTGAGAAATTCTCAACTAAGTACGTACTCAAGTTGAGAATTTGGAGTTGAGAATCCAAATTTAAGAAGTTTAGAGATCTTGAGGCCAGGAGTTCCGTTGTTCTGCTTCATCGACGACACCCGCCATGTAACCCTTCGTCAATCCTAGTAATATCACGTTTTCAGATGAGAGCAAGGTATACAACAACGGAGCTAACAGGCAAACTAACGAGCATCAGATACGTCCAGCTTGGCATCACACAAAGAAATAAATTATTTTTCAATGAGATCACAATGATGACCAAAAACTTCCCCATAATTTTCATTAATCTGTATCTTTTGAAACCCCGTGTTACGAGTTTGTCCGTCTGTTGACGACTTCTTGCACGAAGATCGTGATATTGGAAACATACCATTGAATATCAAATCAGTTACAACATATACATACTATAGGTTGTTTGATGCGGATATATTGTTATCTAGAAATGTAAAATTCACAATAGGGAATGAAATCATTACGTTTATCATACAGCTCGTTTAAAGGCTGTCCATGTTAGATTCGTTGTAGGAAAAGATCGAGATAAGCAGCTGATGTAGAAGAGTCTGTCACGTCTTTGATTTCAAATTCTGGTGGGTATATACAATGGGTGTGGTCAATAAATGTCTTGTTATTTAAAGACAAAACGTCATCAATATATCTGCAAGTGAAATCGAACGGCTTTGCAAGGTCTTTGTGACCTGTTTTGATAATCTCTTCAATGAAATCAGCCTCGTATGAAAACAAAAACATATCGGCCAACAGAGGGGCGCAGTTTGCTCAAATAGGCATACCAAAAGTCTGTTGAAAGATCTTACCACCAAACTCGACGAAGATGTTGTCAACCATAAACCTGATAATTTTTATGATTTTGTCCTTTGTTTATACCTTCTTTGATTTTTGGGCATATTTTTTTTTACGAAATACGCTTTAGTATAGGGTGTTGAAGATTAGTAAAAAGCTTCTTCAAAGTTCTTAAAAATCTACAACTTTAAACAGTTCCAATATAAGACTGTAGTACAGATTTGATAGTACTTAAAATGGCGGTTAGTAGATTTGACAAAGACTTGGTTGAACAGCTAGACGAATCGGCAATAAAACGATGTTGATACGAATTCTTGTGAAGTTTAAGAATCCAGTATAAATGGGGGATATACCCAACAGCTGTTGCAAAGAGACCGCGTCTTAAAATGACACCAACGTTTTTCAGCGCTATAATCCCAACCAACCAATGCAAACCTTTTGTGACGTAAATTACGAATGAGATTCTAGCATGTAAAGATGACCTGTGACGATTTCTTTGAAGCACGTACAAACGGAAAAGACCATCTAGAATAATATTTCTACACAACACTTTGCTTTCCTGCCAATACTATTTGTCAAAAGAAATAATACAACACAGTTAGAAAAAAAGGACAAAACTATTTGATATTTTATATTTATTGAAAAAAAATAAAGTATAAAACAGTTTAACATGTATTTTCAACAAATGCATTATACCAAACTAAGACGTTAAAACAATCAACAATATTAACATAATGAATAAAATATTCTGATACATTCAAGAGACGCGTTTCAAGAAAAATTTAAACGTGACAGACACTCAATGACAACATTTATTTAGAAAAAGAAACGAAAATAATAATCATTATTATTATAAACGAGTAAACTAACAAATCGTTTTTTCTTTTTTATTTTCGTACCTTGTAATTGTTACATTTATTTATTTATATACGTTATTTGTAATACATATTTGGTAAATATTAGTTGTTTTACTTAAACCTGTAGTTATCTACATATACAGCATACTATAAGGAAGATGAATTTTGATATCATAAAATATGTTTAAATCAAAATTGAATGAAATGCATATTCTTAATGCAAGTATTTATAGTACCTCGTTATATATTAAGAATTCCAATGCTGGTATGACAATGTTTATAATCTATGTTGAACCTAGTCGTTTTGAAATATCATCATGATGTAAATTAAAACTTCACTTACATACAAAAATTATACAAAAAGAATTCACGCTAAAGCGACCAAAATGTTGCACAATGCATGCCATATTTGCATATCTCAACATTAATTATTAACTTGGGTACCACGATTATACAAATTAGTCTTACTATATTACTACCATATAAAGAAAGACCAAGCTCATATGTCAAAGTATGATTATATGTTACATAGATGCAAGGCAACAAAACGTTAGCGAAAATCAACTGTATTTGATTCTTTGTTATATCATATATACAGTGATTTCAGTATTTGAAATGCAATTCTTAATTTCCTTTCTGTATATTGGAATGATATTTTAAACATATATCATAACACACAAGTTTCTGTTAGCCTTATATTGAGTAATACAGACGAGTAGATACTCTTGCGCATTACCTACTTTAGTATTGTAGACATGGGTGTTACACAGTTAATATTATGTGGGTTATCTCCCTTTACTTAATACCTAATGTCCATTACTGAAACGAAAGCATACTGATGGTTTTCATTCGTTTGATTATAACGTTTTGATTTCTTGACTTATTGAATTTATTGTTCTCCATTTCCTAGCAGGATTAATAAAGGACGTACGTAAGTCATTCAGAATGGTTATCGTATCTCTTATAATTTAAACTTTTTCTATATAATAGAGCAGGGGAGATAACCAAGACTACATATCCTATACCACCTCACATAAAGTTATGTTCAATGAAACGCATTGTTGTTGTACTGTGGATGAAATGATGTGCATACAGCAGGCATTTACATAATATAATTGTAACAAAGCTTACGAAGGCTGATTGATAAGTTGTGAGCCTCATATTTAAGGGTTTGACTTTGGGCGGACATATTGCATTAATCTTCTATATTATCCTCTCCAGTATCTATACACTTTTGACAGCGATGTTTAATGGCCTCAATGCTACTAATAATAAAGTCCTTTTCTTGACCGCTCAGAACGTTTGCATGTATGACGTCATCACCTGACCGAAAGTTGGTATCAGAAATGTTTTTTTTCCATTTTGGAAATAGATGAAAGTTTGATGAAGCGCGATTAGGCGAATAAGATGGATGCTCAATCAGTTAAAAACCACAGTTGTTAATTGCAATGATAAGACTTGTGAACAGAGGGCATTGCCCTGGTGGAACAACACACCTTTACTGAGTTTTCCGCGGTTCTTTATTTTTTATATTTATCTTAACTGCCTATCAGTATGAGTATCCTCAGGTGCTAGACCTTTCTTACGTAAATATTAATTCACTGCTCTTTCAGCCATTTTGCAAAAGTCACTTGCTTTCTTTACGTTAGAGTACTACCTCTGCAACATAAACTGACCAAATGACGCCAGTCTTCGGGTACATAGCCTTAAATAGCCAGGGAATAATATCAAAAGACATCCCTGCTTATCTTCTTCAATATATGGCTCACAACTCCATCAGTCCTTGTAGTTTGATGATTGATTTGATTAAAGGTATTCTTTTCATAGAAAAATAATTTACAAAAGGATAATACCATCTTGGTAAGCTAATGGAAAATATCAATCGACACAATCAAGAAATGATATACATAATTGTAAGGAATAGACAAGAGTAATACGTATCAAAATATAACATGATGACAAAATATGTTGCAATGCTACAAAATGAACTCTCACTTCATGGATCTAATCATTGTCAAAGTCTAGAGTCAGCTAAGCCAATGAAAAACACTCCAGGGTATGATTCATCAACGACATATACAAAAATACAACATGAATTCATTGGATAAAAATGCGAATTATTTCATAACTAAAATACGTGCAGTTGTAATGTAGAGTATAGTTAAATAATAAAGCTTTCATGGAAGAGATCCTCAACATGTTTGTCTAGGTTATTACATGTTATATATGGAATACATGTTCTATTTGTTGTTGTCCACAGACAGATGTATTAAATACTAATATAATCCATGTAGTGTCTGGTAATGGAGGATACGTAGATATTTATTCTGAACAAACACGACAAAGATTTAGTCGTAACACATGAATGACATTTAGTCATCTTATTTATATATCAATCATACCAAATAATGGTACACGCAGTTGTTATATTATAACACATCTTGTTAGTCGTGATATTATCTATGAATAATGACAGAAACTTGAAAAATGAAACATTTTACCTCAAGAAATGGAAAAAAATTTTTTGTTAAGTGTATAGTTATTAAAACTCTAGACAAAATATAGGAAAGGGACAAAAATATTAATGGTGGTCACCGAGATTATATACCCAAAGGTCACATATCTTAAGAATGACGGAAGAATATCAAACAGATTATGAATCTAGAGTTTTATTAGGAGAAGGAAGTGTTTTGTAGTGGTTCTTGAATGCTTTCGGACTGCCAACGCATCTGTCTGAGGGATCAACAGCATGCGTTGGAAGTGGTGACACTACAGGACATCCATCCTGATGGAAAAGGCTGCCTGAAAACTGGGTATCCAGTGTACTTATCTGTGTTGGCTCTACTTCTGGGACATGTCCTTCTATATCAGTTCCTACAGTAAGACAGAAATTTTCAATCTCTAATATGGCTGGCGATTCGTGATTTTCTGCTTGTATTATTACCGAAGCCACTTCTTCGGAGGGAATTTTCTTATAACCAGATAACGGTTGATGATTTGTTCCAGGCAGCGCTGCTTCATCAAAGACGTCTGTAAATTTACTGCTTGATTCGTTATCTGTGCACTGTACGGATTTCGGAGGGATTTCGACCTCTCGCTGATATAAATCATCTATGCCGTCGGTTTCCTCTTCTCCCTCTGTACCAAACAATATGACTGACAGCTCATAACTGTCTAACGTAACATCACTGTTCCTCATGTGGCTACATCCAATCATTGACATACTGTCTGTTAGGCGTGGAACTCCTTCAACTGATCGTTCTTCATTACTTATTGTGTTGAGAGCGACATCTGATTCCAGTTGGGACTGACCATGTTCATCAATGGTGCCAGCTCTACTGTATCGAGCAGCCGTAACATCTGGATTTTGTTCGACATCTTTTCTAACATTATTCGCTGATACAAAATTTCCAAAACCTTCCGAACTGATTATTTGAAATGAAGTGTTGAAATCGTCTAAACCATTGCAACTAGCCAACTTGTCACATTGGTATAATTTGTTTTGGAATTTCGATTTACCAACAACCGAAGCATATCCGTTTTTGTTTCCGGGAATCGTGGAATACTTGCCGTCGTCACTGTGATGTGATACAATACTACTATCATCGCACCTGACTTCAGGTTTAGGATTGAAATGGTCCTGTTTAAGTGAACAAAATACTTAGTTGATATCAGCAATATCCATATAGAGCAACGAATGTCGTTTAACGAATGTATAATGCTATACAGTATCGTCCAACGTGACTAACAAATCTGATGAATTGATTCCACATTTCTATAAAAACAGACGTCGATCAAGAAATGGTCTCATAAATGCCGATTGCATACATACCATTGCAAAATACTACAGGGTACAAATTTACACTGACAAATAAAATTACTAATTACGAAAGTGTTTTTAAAAAGTGATAAAAAACGTGCACTTGTAAGTTATTTCATATTCCCAAGTTGTGTCAGTTTTACATCCCAGAGAAAAAAACAACATGGTAATCATTAAATGTTAAAGATAAGTCTGCTAAATTTATTGTTTTATATTTATTGGTTTATACCTCATATAACATGATGTATTACACACAGCGTAAACTTTAGTAATAACCCATAGTAACTTCATGTGATCCACGCTTTTTCAAGTAGTTTGACACAGATTAGGATGTTATTAACTGCTTTTTAACTGGAGCACACACACATTATTTTGAAAGGAAGTGGTGTAAGTGATATAGAAAGGATTTAGCAACACGTGTTTGTCACCCAGATATTTCAGTTCGCGTTGCGTTACGGTTTTCTGTGTTTATAATTGTGTCAGGTCGTTATATATATTTTTTAGCAACAGGTCTTCGGACAAAATACACGTCAAAATGCTTTTTGCGACTGATCACGTCAAATTATAAAGATTTCAACTAGAACTTAAACATCGTGCCCATTATAAATAAATGCTGTCAAAATAATTGTTTTCTATCACCAACACACTTTCCATCATTAATGCTATGTTTGTTTTACATGAATTTGCAGCAGATCGCTCAGTTTGTTCTGATCATTTATTTGTATTTAAAGATACTGACCTCATTATTGTTATCGATTTCAACTCCATCAATAGGCTGGTCGATCTCCTTATACCACACTACACATTTCCGAATCAACCTGAAAGATGCGCATTATGAATATTCAGACAAGTTTATCAGACGAGACAAGTAATATCAATTACATTACCGACTGTTAGGTTTCATGTTCTTGTTATCTTGCTAAAACTTCAGTTTCAATGAATGCCTGTACCCTGCTGATAAGTTAATCATTTCAGTGATATGACATACTTGTACTATAATCTGCTTTAAAGCTTTCAGTTGCAAAGAAGATACTTTCTTAATTTTCAAGTGTTATACTTTACAAGTACAGCGATTTAAAGGACGTCGCTAGATGTAATAGTATGAAGTGAAAGTCTATCATGAAGGTTGGATGAACAGCACTTTCCTTACAATAACAAATATACATCTATTTCAATGACAGGTATACTCGGAGTATAGATATTTTAATTCATTTACATGAAAATCACTTTTGTTGTCTAGGTTTTACATGTATATGTTATTGTCTTGTTGAATTAGGTGAATGTTGTACAAGAGACGTAATCATTGTGTTGTATTTGACATATCTATAATGTTCTAGTCCTCCTGTCTGTAACTTGATGTTTAAGTATTTGGTTTAAAGTACCTCTACCTTGTTTAGGGTAGAACAAAAAATCTCTACTGGAGGAAGGGATTCTTGACTTCTAAACCGCGGCTTTCCCAAGGGATAGCCACTGAAGAATCTCCTCGGAGGATGAAGCATTCTCTGTCCTCTCTGTCCTACTCTAAAGCTAGGTAATGATTCTTTTTTGTCCAATTTTCCCATTATCATTTAATTAGTCAATACTGATAATATGTGACTGTATAACTATATGACTGTATATGTAGCCGTTAAAATTATGCTAGTTCCAATGAGTAAGTAGCTAGTGTAAGAATAACACGATTGCCATGCAAGGGTTTCGACAACTGACGCAGCTCAAAGCTCAAAGGGTTTCCCAATATGCAAGCTAATAAAGATTGTGGGAGAACAGTATGGTCATCATTGCAATCTGATTGGAAACATGTTTTTCTAATACGAAGATATATATATTTGATGCTCGCTAGTATGCTTAGCAACTTCGTTGTTCAAAGGTTCTCATTTGAGAACATGGTAGTACTTACTTAGATTGACCGAGATTTACAAATATGGCTCTTGGAGAAGACCAATACCTGGATTTATGAAACCAGGGCACAACTTTATTGGCTGTAATTCAAGCCAATATGGTATTGTTGTCTACTGCTAAACAAACTTAAAATCTGTGTAAAAACAATGATAACGAGTGCAAAGTTACAACAGAGAAACGATACCTGGAATATTTTCATAGATCTCGATAAACAAACCACGACATAAAAATAACTAAATATTACGTAGTGGCAGTATATAGGTAAATGTTCTTGTCTCATGATTGGTGAAGTGGGTAAATATAAAGAAATGATACCATCCAAATAGGAAATCAAAAAGAATATTCCCATGAAGATGAAAAATAGTATTTTCAAGCATTTGGAATAAATATTTCGAAAGCATATATATATATATCGCTGCATTGCATATCTAACTCACAAGATTCCGGCCAGAAGGAGTATAGTGGTACCAATTCCTAATCCGACTATCACTGAAACAGGTTTAAAGAGTCAATCTTTTGAAATTTACATGTACACTTTTTTCTTATTCGTTTATTTATTGCTACTTCATTTAGCATTTACTGAAAAGCTTAAGAAATGCATCTATATGTATATATAGTTACACAAATTATTACCAGAATATTAACTTAATCAAAGTGATGGCCGTGACACCAACATACATATTATGGACTGTTACGACATTATCTATTAGCTGTTCTATTTTAACGACATATTTCTTGATGACAATTATGCTTATCGATTAATCATATTATTTGATCTTGTGGAATACAAACATCAGTATAATTTGGTTAGGAGTACGTACTTTCGACTTTTGGTTGAGTGTTGATGTATTTGAAAGCTAGTTCACTGTACGGACTTGTTTTATGACGATATCCCACATTGTATTTAACACTGTATATCAAACCAGGTGTCAAACCGTTCAATTCCAAACCGTTATCGTTGTAGCGAGCCTGAAATGTTTTGGTTCTTTCATCTGAAATAACCATGCATATTTCTTTATCAATTAGTAAATAATTAGTAAGTTAAAGTTAACTTTATCTCATTTCAACACACGTGCCACTTTAAACACAAGTTTCAGCGGGTTCACCACAAAAAAACGCGTATTAATTTTTCTGCAAACGTGAAGTCGTTAAGTGACATAGCCTAATCCCTGATTGCATTACTGTTTTCTGTTATTTACAAACAATATCATATGAGAACATACAATTTACTATTTACTATTGTAAGATTATCAAACATAGTGTTCTACGGAGAATACATTTTCTTCCGTGAGAAGCAATCATCATTTTACACTGAATCTACCACTCAGTCATCAGATTGCAGCATAAAAACAAAACAGGGCCACATGAGTATCTAAAAACCCTGACTTTTTCAATGGGAGAGCGGAAGGCGTTTAACCCAAAAATTAATTAATGTAAATAATGCATCACAAAAATTGTGCACCGCAAAAATAACCTGCTATGCAGTATCTTATGCCCTGCTTCAATACTTGGTCCTAGCATAATAACAAGTTGTATCAGATAAATGGCTGAAAGTGTTTTATAACTTACCTCCAGGGTCATTCGTGTTAGCGTAAACAACTGTATAATTTATTGGCCGCAGTCTTTGACTAGCCATTGTTTCCGAAGAACAGAATGACTGGACCTCCACAACAATATCACAATGACTACTATCAGAAAGTGACGGTCTCTCAGGTTGGCGAAGATTTGGAACTGTAAGTATGGCGATAATCTCTAATAAAATTGATATTTAACAGAAATATTTTTTAACAGTACGATATAGATCCCATATGTGAACTTAAAAATATTCTGCATTAGACATTACGGAGTAGCAAATACTAGTCACTTCAGTTTCAGTACTGTTGGATAACACAAATCTAAAACACTAAAAAGACAACACCAACACTAAGAGAGAAACTCGTGTATGAAATTCAATTGAATCAATAGGGAGTTACCAATTACTTCGATTTTGGAAAGGTTATATTAAGTTCAAATAACTCAAAAAATCGATTTTACCATTTCTGCTCGATCCAAATCTGCAGTCTTCCCAATGTAAACCTGAAGTCCCCTTATCCGTGTTGACAGAAAAACCAAAATGCCATTGGCCATTGCTTGGATCCTCTTCAATGCTGTATGACCGGTTCATTTCTGTCTTTTGGAGCCTAAACTCAGGTTTAGAAGAATTTCTGTATTCATAGCCTCCCTTTTAATAGATATCAAACAATCAAGATGAAATTATCTATTAATTGATGGTCATAACAGTCATCATTAAACATTATATCATCATCTTAATATGCTCGTAAAAAGTCTCCTATGTAGATGAAGCTTGCCCTGTTATCATGAATGTTTCAATGTTCATAAAATATCAACTGGACCATCATGACAGGCTATAACTATACAAGTTGTTACCCAAAATGTAACGCCTATAAAAGTTAATCGGACGATGCATTTTGTTTTAGTACTACGGAATCAGCACAAAGCTCAAAAGTATGAACGCGGCAGCTACACTGAACTTGACCTCTGATCGTTTGACGTTGTAAGAAGGACATCGCCCGGTCACACCCTTGCATATTTACACTGTACTTTACTGAAGATAGGTGTGTGAAAATACGTTATAAAACGATAACTTCGGAATGTTCAACGACATAGAAATTCAGAAAAGTGGATTCAGCCAACATAATCGTAATCCAAACTCAATTTCAATACATTAAGGGCAAAATATGAACAAAAGAAAGATTTACGATGACACTTCTGAAAAAGCACTTGTCGAATAAGACTAGTGTTCAGGAAGAGTAAGCGTCTTCTGCTTCTTCGACAGCACCTGCCATGTAAACCCAGGTCAATCCAAGTAAGTAATACCACGTTCAGAGAAATAAACCGTCTAATAAATAATCATGGACTTATTGTCTGAAATAGCACACCACACGTAGATTATTTCATTTCTATAAATTCATCCCCGTTCATTGCAAAGTTGTCCATAACTTTCTTTAGACAACAATGTTTAAAAACACAATTACCTATTTTGGCCGAGTTTTCGTTTATAGGTCTTTAAATCATAAAAAATATTATTCTTACTCAAGTTAGCCATTATTTATGATTATAACAGATCTACTACCTTACACGTCACTGTTTCGGCGCCGTTTTTTATCCCGTAACACCAATGAAAAATATGTTGTGAAGGATCGCTGTCCGGAGATAATTGTGATGTAACCAAGTAGTGTGTATCCTCTTCCTCGACAATCACTTCATCAATGATGTCATTGCCTGGACATAAACGTTTACATATCTTAACAAAAAAAGTAAGTTTCCTCATGATTACAATAGAATATATTATATCTAAATATCTCGAATTAATTTATATCTTTGCATTTATATAATAGTTGTAGTCAATAGTTAAATGTAGATACGTTTTGGCCATTGTTCATTAACAATAAATCCCTTAGATTTTACTTCAGAAGATAAATTCTACTCCGAAATGAAAATGAGTACAACATGCATGTGTATAATCTCGTCTCTCATGCTTAAAGTATTCTGATATCAATCTTTAACACTGCATAATATACTTAATAAGAGTACAAAATGATATGTATTCCATGGCAAGCTCGCAGTTAATGTAGATGTTGGCATCATTAATAAACGCAATCCGTGCCATGTGATCGAGCACATCATTGGTGTTATAGCAAAATAACATTAATAAAATATACTCGTTGTGTTATCATAATGTGGGGCGATAGTAAAGGTCGATCCACTTCACCGTTTTAGTGAAATGGTAAAGTGAAGCAGCCTTATATTTTGTTTTCATTTTTAATGATTTCATTTATTATCAGGTTGCTTAGGTATGTTCCTCCACACATAATACAAAATTGCACAATCTAGGTTGCTGTAAAATATTATCTTTACAATGGCCATAGTAAAGCGAAAAAAAAAATTCGTATTATATACCTATCTCACCGTCCACAGATGTCCTTGATTTGGAAAAAAAACAAGTGAACAAGTTTTTTTAATGTAAACATACCTTCTCTCGGATATATGAGAATGTCTGTGGAATTAATAGACAGTCCTTTGGAAGTTTTAGACCATATAGATACATGGTATGGTGGAGTAATTCCTCGTTTTAAAGGTCCAATTTCCAATGTGGTGGATTCGTTTGTGAACTCAAATTCCTGCTTTAGATCAGACCTGTGACTACCTCGCATCTCCACTTTAAATCCGCATATGATACCACGAGCTTCCAACACGTCTATCTGCTAATTGTATAAATATAACAGTCATTCTACGATATCGTAAAGAACCATCAAAATCTAAGGAAATGCAACCACCCTGTATTGCTTAGGTAATACATGCCCACACTGGCCACTACAAACTAACACATTATTGACAATTACACGGTAGTGGTTTATAAAGAAAGTACTGTTTCGTGTTATTTGGGGAGGGGGCAAAGTATCAAATGAGTTTTTAACTGATCGTTATGAAACAATGCAATAAATATGTATGACAATCTGACAGTTCCATTACCAAAGTATAATAACGTGTCATTTGTATGCTTTAGAGCGTTGAGCTGACAACGATTCTTATTAATAGTAACAGTGATCTCGACCTTGACCCGACAAACCCGAAACTCAAATTTGTTCAAGATAATTTGACATTTTATAAGTGTGTGAATTTGATGAGAATCTCTCGAAGAATGAACACGCAGGAGTTTTGACAATCTTTCACAGACGGGCGGATGGACCAACTTAGAGGGAAAAGTTAAAAAAAAAAAAAAAAAAAAAACACACACACACACACACCCTCAACCTCACACACATACCTCCATTTCACCTGTATAACATAGAAAACTAGTTCATGTTTAAAATACCTTGGTATGGATGGTCAAGCAGGAATCAGCATTATACGATTTGCACTTTGCCAACAGATATGAGTGATGTGTTGTATGAGGTCCAGTTAGAGGAACTAGGGAGGAAAAAAGGTACACAAATGTACAGCATGACCTTTTAATGTTAACCATTCTGACAAAGTTACCATTTACTAGTGCTTGCAAAAGAAACTACCTGCTTAACTCATAAAACAAAACTTAGTATGTAAATGTTTGAGTTCACAGTAAGTTATGATATTAAGATTAAGTAACCAATTCACAAGTAAATGAAACAATGATAATCAATGAACGAAGTTGTCATTCAAACAAAATATCTATTTTTATACATTTATATTTAAGACGCTGCACAAATTTTGTACATAAAATTGAAATAAATCAAATATTGAATAAAAGTATTAACTATATACTCTTTTACATTGAACGCATCATTACCATCTTCATCCGTTATGAACGAACGTTGGACTGCATCTCCCCAGTAAGGACTTCCACTGACCTTACAGGTAACTGTTATGTTATACTCAGTAAATGGATGAAGCTCTCTAAATAGTATCCTTGTTACTTCATAACTTCTGACATTATTAGTGAAAGTCTGAAATATTGAAAATATGATTTCATATCAAAATGTTTTATAATTACTCACGCGACTTGAAAACGTTAAATATATCTTAAAACTTCATTAGTCACGTAATTAATCATTTTGAGAAAAATACATGAAATCAAATGACTTAAACATTTATTACACAATAATGATTGGGAAACTAAAAGCAATTATGAATGCTGGCAGTAACCTACCAGCTGTTTCGTTTCCTCGCCGCATGTAACCACACAGTAAATTCCATTTTCATAATAAAGTGGGCGATATAGAAATTTCCATCCGAGTGATATTGAATGAGATGTACGTTGTACCTGCAGGTTCTCTATTGGATCAAGTTTGACTGCAGAAACAAAAGCGTAATCGATTAAAAAACAATAGAAAAGTATGAACGTTTAAGCAAGTTCATAAGAAAATATATTAAATTAACTGAACTTCAAAAAGTCACATAGAAACACACATTCGCATTTTGAGTACACAACAAATGTTATAATATCAGGCATTAGTTGTAGATTATATTCAAGTAATGATTTAGCTGAGTTATTACACTTGTGTATACTTTCAGCGCTCTCTCTCTCTCTCTCTCTCTCTCTCTCTCTCTCTCTCTCTCTCTCTCTCTCTCTCTCTCTCTGATAAAATAAAACAAAATTTAAAATGCAGAATATTAGAAAAATTGTTTAATTTTTAAGAAATGTTTATGCGCTTCTCACCTATGCTATCATTAAATATCTTCTTTATTTCTGTTTCTCTGCGAAGTCCAAAAGATGATTTTCTTTCAAGTCGGAACGTTTGATGAACATTTGAGATCTTCAAAATACATTCCAACTGCAAGGGTTCTTCTTTGTGGCAACTATTTCTTAACTAAGGAGCAACAAAAAACCACAAATCTGAATCGATAATACATATAAAAAGCTGAATGAGAGACAAACTAATAAGGTGGTATGACTCATCCATGCATACATTGTTGGGCGAGTATTATCTACGGAACGAAAACAAACATTACCATACAGGGTATCACTAACAATGTGATATTATCTTATGTACTTTTAATCGTTTTGTATGACCTATTTACCATAAATAAGGGATCTTTGATATTATTGTATATTTACAGATATGTATATCTCCGTATTGTCTTGTTTCGAATGAAACAAATATGATATAAGATGTTTACAAACGATGTTCCACCGTGTGATAAAATTATATAAATTATATAACCAGTAGTAAGTTTTGACAGTAAGATTGTCTACGTGCTGGTGTCATGCATTTGAATGTTACCTTCCCCATTACATTTTTAAGCAGTCAAAGCAAAGTGTGAATTACAGTTCAACTATGTATACGAACCTTCAAGTTAGAATTAATGCTTCCACTTGCACAGTGCTTTGATATATTTTGTACCGGAAGCTCACATTCGGTTTCAGGTTCGCCACTATGTTAATAACAACAATAAAAAAGTAAAAAGCATTTTCTAGCATATTAGGATAAGGTAGTTTGTCAGTTTAGATGAAGCACGTAGCTTCGAATATAATAGAAAAAACAAATCAACCAACTGTATTTTCATCCAGTTTTGTGATAAGCGAAACAAATCCACCTGAATTTCTACGAGGAAGAAACCGTTACATGCCATTCATTGATCGAATTTCCCGGATAATTATAACAAAGTATTAATCTGACCTACTTAACTGAATAAAACAGGCGCCAAGTGGTACATCTGTCTCGACTCTCCCAGGAGCAAACGACTTTGTTCACCGCACCATTAGCAATACACATGATGTCCTCGGGCATTGGATCAGGCTCTGAAAAGAGAATTAACCATTGTGTTCTTTTCAACGTCCTTTAGCAAGAACATCTTTTCAAGTCCCGTTGAGCAGGAAAAAGCATACGATGAAAGATTGCATTTATATATATACACACACACAAAAACCACATAATCATGCTCATAACAAATATAACTGGGTCATATAATTATATGGTTTAAGTCTATGTTGATGTCGATGTGTCTTTTTAATACATTGTTAACATATGAACCCCTTGTAAAACCAGTAGGTTGTCAGCCCGTGTTACCTTTTCTTACAGTTGACTTATATCGGATAGTTTGGTAACATAGATATATATCTTATCGAAAGATGTGTAAGGCGGGCTTCTATCACATGATTTCATCATCTAATGTAAAGAATATTCCAAATGAGATCACGATGATTGATATAAAGCCCCTTCTATAGTCTAAATATTGAGCAGCTATTGAAACACTGTTTTCTTTGAGGAAAAATCTGTCACAGAAATTGCGATAATGTATCAAGCCCTTAATAACCGACCATTTTTTGAGGTATAATTGACATAAGATGAAGGTATAAACTATCTTTTATGTTTTTATTGGTCTTAATTCTTAGTGAAAGCAGCATATTTGTTTACGGTTTTTCATATCTAACAATATCATAAAATATCGATGCGTTAGGTGATAAAAATATTTTAAAACGACATACCATAAAATATGACAACGTACCTGTTACTTCGAAGGAAAGATAATTATACTCATTGAAGTCTGATTTGTTTCGACATTCGAATATCAATTTGCCAACCGCTTTCACATTTGACACTGTCCCTAGAACAGTTCGGTTATCGACAACGGAGGTGTTGACTTTTCCTCCATTTTTGTGTATTATCTGTAGTTGATTCAAGTCAGGGTCATGGGTTTCTTCCCAGTTGCTGATACTGCAGTGAAGTTCAAGTGTATCCCCAACGTGTAAACATCTACCAACATTGGCCTGCAAGACTGTAATACACAAAATGATTATGTATACTGCAAAACGAACAAAGACGATACCAATATGTCAACAGAATTTGAAACTCAAATTTAATTTAGATGAAATTAGTAAGTTCAAAATATGAACGAAAGAAGTACAAGGAGAGATGAGCCTCACTATGGCATTGAGTTTCCGAACAATGTTTTTTTTTTTTTTTTTTTTAAATTTACTTCGTCTTTTGTGTGTTATCAGATGAAATTAATGATTTCAGAACTCTGTACTTAACACTCTCCTGCCTCTGTTGTGTTATATATATTTAAAACTATCGTGCCTCTGTTGTGTTATATTTAATACTCTTGTGCCTCTGTTGTTATATATATTTAATACTCTCGTGCCTCTATTGTGTTATGTATATTTAATACTCTCGCGCCCCTGTTGTGTTTTACGATATTTAAAAAAAATATTTATCAAAGCTATCGATTGAATTGAGAAATTCAATCTATAGACATGAATAATTAAGTTTAACATGTAAACAATTACAAGCGCTGATAGCAGAATATATTTACTTTACAGACTTCAAAAAATGATAATAAATTAGATTACTTACCAATGTTAAAACCTTCTGTGACACTCTGATATACCAACAGCATCAACAATGCAGTCAACACCATCGTCCCCCTACAAAATACAATAACACATTAAAACCTGCATGGAAAACTTGTTCGCCTGATCAGTACCTCGTGTCACTCAGTTAAAAAAACTTTCTAAAACGTTTCACATGTAAGCTTTCGTGTCAGTATTCTCATCATCTTCTCTAAACATATGGCTATTTAAAATTCGCATGTACACACATGCATACACTAACTGCAACAATGTTACCAAGTGACATTATATTGTACTGCAAAGTCAAATGAAAGTGGCGAATTTTCAAAATAGCTAATGTTGGTATAATGATTGATTTTCTATTTTGCTGCTTGCGTCCTGAACTGATATATTAACAGTTCTTCGCAGTTCATTTTTTCAGGAGGTTTACTTCCTTTCTTCAATCCATGTCAGCTACAAATAGATAATGAATCCTTTATTTTACTTCTAGCCTCGATTCCCACAGCTTCATCGCCCTTTCAAAAAGTTGTACTGGTTTTGTAAGTAGTACAAATATATTAAAGTGTTTAAGTTGGGATCTACGTTACATATAAGCGGAGGATGAAAATTATTCTTTATATCGACAAGAAATTAAGATTTTTGAAACATATATTGCAAGATTTGCTGATCCATGGACATTCATACACAACGATTCAGATATGCACTATATTGCAGGACGCAATATTAACAGATATTACTTAAAATTCTATCAAAAACTCATTTAGGACGACTCCCAGTGTATGCGTGACAAATGGTAGTGTTGAGTGCACTGTGTAAAACAAGCTGTGATATTTTCGTGTAAGCCTCCTTGTGATAGTGCGGAATTGAAGCTGATTTATAGTGCTAGCACACTGACGCGTACTGCCGAAGGCACTAGCAGTACACTTTGGCAGATCACATTAAAATGACAACGAGCAAACCAGCTGTTACGCTACCAAGTGATTCCTATTTTTTTTCGGTTACAGGACAGAGCAAAAACCCTTCCTCACAGTGGCAGTCCTCCAACCAATGACCAAACATGAGGCAATATCAAGGGATATAAAAGAAAAAGAATTGATAATAATTAATGATTATATCAATAAATTTAATTTATAACACTATATACATAATGATTCTTGACTGGACTCGTTGTTGATTCTTCAAATGGAAAGTCTATCCTTAAAGGGACAAGTTATCTTAGTAATAGGGCCGTCCAGTATTGGAGAGAGATGTTATTAAAAAGATGTGAAAATGCATGTTATAGACCAGCCTGCAGGATGCAAGACCTCCTTGATGCATCGGGATTTTCTTTATCTCTTTTAAGCTTTTAAGTAGTAATTCGTAGTATGTCGAGTGGTACAGAAAATAACAATAGTGATGTTATTGAAAAGGAAAGTCAGCTAGTTCTGTAAACCTCAGTCATATTCAGAGAAAACAATCCAGAATAGAACTTAAAGCATACTTAAATCAACTTACATTAATCACTCTAGTGGATTTAAAGGGGAGGGTCTTACGTTAGAAGGAAACCGGTTGAGTACTCTGGAAAACCCTCGTGGTCGGGCGAGTGACCTTTCACTATATTACGTCATATCTCTTGTCATACTGTAAGACGGACTCAATTTATCATGTTTTCCTTTAATTTAAATGACTCCATATAAATACATCAAAGTATAAAACGTGTCCAATATCTCAACAGAGTCGATTTTCTTGTAAATGGATATTCCATTGAAATAGATTTTAGCGTCATGAAGATCATTTCCAGATTTGGAAAGCCAGTGTTACTTTTTGTTATTGTATTATGTTTAAGGGTAAAATAGTTAGCTTTTTTTTCATATTATGAAATTTTGTTAGATATTCCTTATGAATAATTCATGTCAAAATATGGAAGTTATGGTTTACTTCGTATTTAAATGCGAAAACGAAAGAGAAAACATCTTGTCTGACTAAATGGTTAGCAAGCCGACCTGTAAATACCGTAAGTCATGCGATGTGACTAACTCAGGAATCTGAAAATTAAATACAGTCTGTGTGAATATCTACTCATAGAGTCCTAGTATGCTTTAAAGGTTTTTACATATTTTGGAAACATAGACTATCATTTGATAAAATGATATCCGTTTTAGTGTATCTTCCTGCTCGTCTAAAAAGCCTGATTATACATACTGTAACAATCAAACATAGATCGGACAGGAATGTAGACAGGTACTTCCAACTAGTATACTGACTACCGATTGTTATTAAATCATATCCTAGCAACTTCATTTGACAAACATGTATCATGCTTACAGTCACAGTTTGATAAAGTAATTTATACCAATACAATTCAAATATGAATATACTGGTTTAAGATTACGAAAACATTTGGAAATGTGGTAATGATCTTATGTATGAAAATAAATCATCTCATAGATTTATGTTTATGGTTGAATAAATTCCACTTCAGATCTACGTATATCATATCGAGTCATTCAATATGAATGGCGTCATATCGTCAAATCTATCTGGTGCACGGCCCTTAAAGTCAAGAGTTTGTACGTCATCGATTACAATTACCTTGGCCTCATTCACAACACTCCTGATACAGAGAAAAATGATATCGTTATTCGTCTCTAGGCAATTATACACCAGATCTACTGATGCCGACTCATAGTCTGATAAGAGGCAATGTTATATTATTTGAATGAAAATATGACCAAAACATGATGATATAATAAAATATATAAAAAAGGACGTTATCACACACTAAGAAGAGAGGGAGATAGGTGATGAATATCTTCTAGAATGTGAATAAGTACATAAAAGTCATAATTCAATATTATATCGTAAAATGTAGGTATGAATGAAAATTGTTCAGTGTAACATTCTTTTCAATGTGCCCTAAGTTTGATGGTTTATAGAGCGGATGATTTATAGAGCGTTATGTATAACAGTAAAACATGGGCCATTACATATTTGTTGGACATTTAATTACATAGAGAAAATCTAAACGGTATAGCATAGACAAAATAACAACAACAAATGAAAACAAAACAGAAACGAAAAAAGGTGTAGTGAATAGTACTAGGTTAAGCTAAACAGTTTCTTTTTCCTTTAGACCTTGTGTTTAATGATTTTACCAGGAGCTATCTTTTGTGTTACTAACTATGGTGCTACCTATTGGAATATTGATCCGAAAGACAAACCATTCTCTACAACCGAAAACGAGGGAATTTGTTAATATCTTAATTAAATAATAAAATGTAATGAAAAAAATAATATTACTTAGATCGTTAACTTCGTCGAAAATCCACAAAATTACATAACAGTCAGTGTACATGGTAGCAATGTTTCATTATCTTCAGTGTCGGGAAGCATTCGTCATAGGATTTTTATGTTTACATGTGTGTGTGTGTGTTTTTTTTTTTTTAATTCATTAGTTAGAGTCGAATAATTACCTCACTGACAAAGCTTCTTTTACTCTTATGTATACACACCACTTATATGTAATATCTTGATAAGACATGCATAGCTTTAGATGATAAAAAATACGACTTACCTCGAGAGATTCAGCTCCGAAATTTACTAGTGTGTTGTGGGTACGACACATCCTGTATTGTAAATGCTAATAGCTTTTTACAGAAAAGTCCTTGTGACCTTCCTACTTAAGTGGAATAGGTGGAAGTGTGATGTATAGTCTGCTAAAAGACCGAGAGGTTGTAATAGGTGACGAAAAATCATTTTGTAATTAAAATTTTGGTAATTTCTTGAATTTATCGGAATAGAAATAACGTGATCAGTTCGTGTCATGGTCAGATTTTCTTTTGGAACTGACCAGTATATTACTAATGATTTTAACGATTCTCTGTAGTCCTTAACTACTGTATTATATAATATATAAGATGCTTATTCATTTATTTATTTATTTATCCAAATTAAAATTCAAAACATCACTGGAAACCAAAAACAACAAAGTCTGAAATGAGCATATTTCATTGTCGATGAAAATCACCACTTTATTAATATCGGCATATATCAATCTGGCTTCGTGCAAGATATCTTATAATCATGCGAGCTCTACTTATTATTTTATACAAAGATTTTTTTAATGTTATACGCAGTTTTTTCTTCGTTTGATCTAGAACGTTTTTCAATTTATAAAACGCACCGGTCATAGATACAATTATATTGCTATATTGTCAAAATAAAGGTTTCGTTCACCAATGATAGGACGTCTTTGATTGACAGACAAGAGGCAATTTCATATTATCCATTTCATTGTAGCCCCGATCATGCTTTCGTTCTATCAAAGGATAAGCGTCTTCCGTTCCATCGAGAACATTCACCATATTCAAAGCAATGGCCAATGGCCGAGGTAATAATAACAAAACCAAAAAAACATATTAATTACATTTCACATAGCTAACTTCGAATCACAGTAGGAAACAGAACATTCCCCGGTGAGATCAAGGCGGTTACCACAAATATTCCCCTTATATTTCATTGACTTTAATCTCTCGAAACCTGTGGGTTTTTTCTATCAACTGCCGATTGCGAAAATCCTGTATCATAATAAAGATCAAGGTAAGCTGATTGTGTCGAAGGGTAGTGACAGTAATTTCCTCTTCGGAAAATATCATAACTTAAAATAAGCGTGATTTGTCTTTGTTAATTTTATAAATTCATAAATAAAAACAAATCTGTTATCCGGGGCTGAGTTAAGTATTTTTCATGTAATTTGTAGTGAAGACTGACAGTTAGCGTGTTTAAACATTCTTCAGATACTTTTTTCAAAGCAGTTGTTCGAAGGGTCGTTTCCAAGGGTCGGTCACCATTTTATTTTAAATCATCATAACGGGTTTGTGTTCCAGAGTATTATAAAGAATATTAAACAGAGACGTTGATATATCTGTGCCATTAGTCTCTTTCATATGTTGTACCAATGAAATATAGAGGTATACACAAATTAATGAAAATAAATTTTTCTCTGATGAACAATAGCACATATTGAAATTTAAGAAAAAGAGTCATGTCATCTTATAAATTGTCCAGTTGTGACAGCTGATACGAATAT